ACAAAACTACACTAAAGAAAAAAAATGGAATTTCAATGTCCTCTGAATATGTTTAATGGAAAGCATTCATGTTCTTTATCATTGTGCTAAAAAAGACTATCATCTACAATACATTCATTTCACCCAGAATCCAGTATCAAGGTTATTACCTTGGCTTTCCAAATGGGTTGACCTTGAAAGAGTCTGGCTTGCTTGATCCACCTGGGAAGTTCATGATGGAGGCAGGCTATAAACCAGACATTACTTTGCTCAAAGTTTTGCCCCATTGTTAGAAGTTGTATAGGATATGAATCACGGCTGACCAAGAATCAAATCCATAAAGAAGTAGAGCCTCCTGTAATTGTGCATAAATTTATATAGGGCAAGACTGTATCCATGCTAAGTAACTTGTTTAGAAAATTCAGGATATAGAAGCAATAAAAATAGCAGTAATAATAATGGGCTTGCGTATCTCACATCAAATTAAATGGTGCCTTTATGATCCTTAAGATCAAATCATAACTGAGCACCATCCCAGCACTATGGGAAGATTCCAGAAGGTTTGGAAAGCCCCCACCTCCGCCCCCAACATGATAAACATTTGCAGGAAATCCCTCAAAATTCTCGAACAAGGGAGGAGAGAGCTGCATGTGCCTGAGTCTGAACTAAAGGAGAAGAAACAGGATTAAGACATATGAAAGTGTTACAATAGAGGACCGCCAAGCCCAAACCCAGAGGTGACACTGAGAGGTCCAACTGAGTTCAATCCTTTATTCTAATTACACATAGATATTCTCTTTTGAGGCTGCCTTCTCCTCTTAGCCTGAGACTGACCTACCCAATAAGATCTAGAAGAGAAGGCTTCCTCTGGATCCCAATTGCTTCGTTGTGTTTCCATCTGGTAGTTTATGGTGATCTTCTAAGTCAGGGGTGTCAAACTCACGTTGTCACGGCGGCGTCACATGACGTATCGGGACTCCCCCCCCTTCATTAAACCGGGTGTGGGCCAGTGCATGATGCATCCGGCCCACCGGCCGGGAGGTTGACAGCCCTGTTCTAGGTCATTTTCATCTCAACTAGAAGAGCCTTCTGCAGAGAACAAATAATCTCTAACTCAGATTTTCAAATAGTTGTGAAGACCTGGTTTTTCCAGAAGACTTTTGAAGTGAGACTTGTGTTTATTCTGTCCTGGTGTGGTATTGTCTTGTTCTTGGGTGATGCTCCTTGGTGCTCTGATGTAATTGTTATATTGTTTTGGTGTTTTATTCATGTTATTGGATCTGGGAACTCTGTGTATTATTGAAGTGGTATATAAGTCCTAATAAATGAGTAAAAAAATAAACATTTCTCAACTCCAGGAAATGTTTGTTTTTATAATATATGTTACTATCAAGTTAAGTCCCTTTCCTCTAATGTTCCACTCTGATAACCAATGGCTCAAGAATAATCTCTAGCATAGAGATGGATGATTTTATTCACACTGCAGGCCATGTTTGAGTTTTGAAAGACCTGCTGAGAGCTATGTTCTACAAAGTGGACAAGTTCAGAACAAAAATTTAAATTGAATTAAATGCAGCTTATAGGATATTTCCCAGGTATTTAATAACTCCCACTTCTTTTGCTTTAAGAATTACAGTTTAGCAGCAACTTTTAGGATACTATATCACTTCTAATCCCTTAAAAATTGTAATATGGTCACGAGAGGTCATTGCTTCAAGCATGTATCACTTCCCTAGAACAAGAAGGAATAATAACACTTTTTGTTTTTTTTTAAATTAAACTTCCCTACATTTCTTCTTGTTCCTATGGGGATACAGGAAATGTCTAATATAGGTGGGGCAAGGAGAACAAAGGGTTAGAGCTTTTGTCTTCTCAATAACTCCCTCACTTCTGTCTGTCACTTAATGGCTTCCAAAAAATTAAATAACTAAGACTAGCAATCTAGTGCCCTGTGTTAGAGCACAATTCCCATTGATCCTAGCTGAGGATGATGGGAGGAGAGTTAACACAGTCAAGGTGTCCTGAAGGTAGGGAAACAGGCTGGGGATCTCTCCTACCTCCATACTCCTATCTTGGTTGTTTAGAGGAGAGGGGGGAAAACATTTTTGTGTATTTTTTTGTAAAACTTGTTATGGTAAAAACAAAAGAAAGATAATGGAGAGAGAGAAATAGACTAAACCATTGCCCGATCCACATTGGCACAATACAACATTAGTTGCATAGGGCAAGTTGGTACCAAATAACAACCTATCAGTCCCTGGAATACATATTCTCACTGAAAGTCAACAGCTTGCATCCATGATGCGCAATGTTTTTGGGCCAAGGGCTGTCTTTATGCTGATGGCTGCATTTCATGAAGTGCATGGGGGAAAAAAAATCAAATTTCATTTCATTCGCATGCAATTAAAATCACATTTATTTAGTTAAATAGAGCTCATGTGATAACTCCCTTTCTGCCATTTAAAAAAAAATCACAACTGGGCAATCATTCTTGAAGGTTGTCAGAGAATTTACACAGAAAGATTTCAGAGGGGGCACATAGGCCTATATTGTGGCCCAAACTGCCCCATATATTTAAGTACACGAATATGAATAAATAGTAAGAAAAAAGAGAAAGGTTCCCTTACACAGAAAAGGAACATTTTTGAAATTTTCTTTGCTTCTAACCCAGCCTGGAGATTTGAGCACATTTATTTGTTGGTTTGTTTGTTTGTTTATTTGTTTGTTTATTTTTCTGTCTAAAAATCTTATAGAAATTTTGCCTCGGAACTCCATGCACAACCACTTAACAGTAGAAGAAAATGGGAACTTGTCTATAGGAAATCCTGGCACTTTATGGTAGCAAGTTCTTGCTGGCTGTGTTGTTCAATTACAGTATAAGATTGACACGGCATTCATGGTATGTTTGAAGAGTGGTGACATCATGCATTCCTTTTATGTATAGCAGACTATAAAACCATTATGTAATGTTGCTTCTACAAGAGTAGAGTAAAAAAATATTGTCCCAGCTACGTTTCTTTGATATCTTTAATTGCCCTCCCTCCCGCCCTTCCCATGTTGGTCAAAAAACACCATAAAGGTTTACTTACCTACTATCTCTAAGAATGAATGGCACATGAATGTAATTAATGATAAAATCCCTGGTCATTTTGAAACCAAGAGGCCTCAGTCTGTAAGTTGAACACAATGACCACCATACCTGTCAGGCTTGAAAGCAAAAGATGGTTGAACCTAGAAAATTCACTCATGTTTTCATTTTTCCACTATAAATTCCTTCGATCTATTCTCTCTTTTTTTTTTCCTCCTGCAAAGCCACCTGAGGTTTCATACACACTTTATGTGCCTTCCTTCTCATACATTTTGTATGGGCTTTTTCATGACACGCACAGCTGCATGTTGGTGTGTACTTTTCCGTAAAACCACTTTTCTCTATTGCTGACTGTCTTATTATATCACGTTTTTGCAATCTTTAATATTAAGCACCTAATGCTACGTGCCTGGAATGTTGCAATGCAGTTTGCAATTCAAAAAGGCAATACTGACTGATAGGCACACATTACTGGCACTGATTGTGGACTGTAACTCTGTTCCATTTTATTTGCAGGTATTGGAAGAATGAACAGGTAACCTTTATACTGAAGTACAAATCAAACAAATCCCACCTGCCACCCCCACAATGAAGAAATGCAAAATCTGTCTCACTCAGAATGACAGTGAGGAAAATATTGAGGGCCCATCCCTAGACCAATAATGCCATTATCAGCTTTTTCAACTTCCAGTGGCAGATATCAAATCCTGATAGGCACAAGTCTGCTCCAGAGGTCTGCCTTGCAGTAGAAAACCACTCAGAGGTCATATTAAATGAATAAACATACTCCTGAGCTTAATGCATTAGTTGCTTTACTTAGGATAAGGCAGCTTCCAATATCCTATCACTTTTTTGCCTTTTTCTAATTGCAGTAATGACTCCATGGTACGAGTAATCAGTGATTTATGACAATGGGGGCCAGAATTTCCACCGCTAAATGGTTGTTATACGAGTCATGCCTGGTTTTTGTGACACAGTTGTTAAGTGAAATGCTGCAATTGTTAAGCGACTCACGTGGTCCTTAAGTGAATCCATTTCCCCTATTGACTTTGCTTGTCAGAAGTCAGCTGGGAAGGTGGCAAGTAGTGACCCCCTGAACCTGGGATGCTGCGGCTATCCTAAATACATGCCAGTTTCCAAGCATGCAAATGTTGATCACTTGACTGTAGTACAAACACTGGTTGTAAGTCATTTGTTTCAGTGCCACTGTAAGTTCGGACAGTCGAAGTTGAGGACAGTTGCTAAACGAATGATTGTAAGCTGAGTACAACAGCATTGCATGAGATACAGTAGTTTTAACGTTCCCCTAACCTGATGCATTTCAGATCTGCTCCTACTTACAGTGGCCTCACAATAGTTTCAGGTGAAAATGTGGTCAGGATTATACCTGAACACATTTGGAATGTATCAGTTGGGTAAAGAAGGGAAGGGAAGAGTTGGAAGGGACCTTGGAGGTCTTCTAGTCCAACTCCCTGCTTAGGCAGGAAACCCTACACCATTTCAGACAAAGCTATGAAAATGAATAATATGCTGCACTACGTCTCTTAGCAAGTACTTTCTTATTCTTTTCCTTTTCATCCCATGTCATCTTTTATCGCAGGGTTAGGCAATAGCCAGAAGTTTGGGATTGCAGCTTTCATAAACCTGAGATAGCATGACCAATTGTCAGAGATTGTGATAGATGTAATTCAAAGCAACACCACTGGGGGATATAAATACTCCATTGCTTAGTCTGCACGCCTACTAAGATTTGTTCTTTCCAAAGAGATAATCAAGCATTTTGAAGACATGCCACTTTGAAAAAAATAAAAAAAAGCACACACACACACAAACACATACTATTTCATGACTTTCCTGCTTTAATCTGAACTTATTTTCCTCATAAAAAATAATGTTTCAGGAAGATGAGAGCCTAAAGAGGTGTTTTGCTTTCTGAAAAATATTCAGCTTGTTCTTCTAAGTTCCTTCAGGGGTGCCAAATGATTTTGGGTGTGGTAGAAGAGTTGTAAAGGAACATTAAAAGAGTTATTCATCCTTGAATGGCAAAACCAACATCATTGGCATCCAAGCATTTTTGCAAGTCTTCAGAAATAAGTTCCTTCTTGGAATTGTCTTGAATTCCAGATCCTTCTTGACTATTGCAGAAGAGTTTATGAAAAACAAGTCACTCAGTGCATGTGATATGTTGCCACACACTTGCCTCACAAACAGTCCCTGCAGAGTGCCACCTGTCCCTTCTGGTAATCACGGCATGGGCAGAGACGCTGGTACTTGGTATTGCATCCGGCACAGCTGAATAACAGATGATCCTTCTGAAGGTAGCATTCCTGGACATTTTCAGCCACAGCTGGATAAAGGTGATTCATCTCAGACTCTGTGCTGTCACAAACAATGTTGAGCCTAGAAAGTGAAGGAAAGACTCAGTAAGAACTTTGTGAGGGTAGATATTAGCAGGGCTCTTGAGATGTCATCTCCATGGAAGCAGTATTAAGGACCATTTAACACTTTACCCAGCAATAAACACAGGGTTATTAATGCAATGCAATTTAAAGCACAGAGGACGAGAACATACAGATATGCTCTCTTTGGTGAGCATATCTGTGTGATGCGTATTGCCTTAAGGGGGTTATAATCTTATGCTTGTAGATATCTCCTGAGGGTCAAGTTGAATGTTGTTGGTAAACCCACAATTGGATGGATTAAAAAAAAAAAAAAAAAAAACCTCTGCTGGGATTTCATTTGAACAGTGAGTCCCTCTCTGTTTTACAGTTGGTGTCACTGATATTTACACATATGCACAACCAAACTGCTCTTAGCCCAGCACAGAAAAGAGTTACATAAAAGACCTACTTTTAATTTCAGTGAGGATAATTAAGAACAGAAGAGTTTCATGGAGTCAAACTCTCTTCTAAACTGGTGAAACATCTCCCAGGAAGTACATAGCATCATTGTTTTTGTTATTTTTTTCTTGAATGTTTCTTGTTCTTTGACAAAATTCACTTTAATATGTCCAGTTCTCTCTCGATCTCTTTGTAGACCATCTCATGGCTAACCAATAATGAAATGACACATAAATTTCCAAACTGGCAGCAAACCTGTTCTTGATCTAATTTATAGATGCTTAATCCACATTCCTCCAATGGTGAGTCCCTCTAGATGTGCTGGGCTTCTACTTCCATCAGTCTGCCTAGCATTCTTGAGGGAAATCATTGGCACTATTGCCTGACATATCAGAAAAGCATTTGTTGAGAAAATCTAGGTTAAACTAATATGTGATACTGTAGATAATACCAGCAACCATAAAGAGGCCAATGCAATGAGTGTTCCCCAGAATTTGTATTTTACTTCATAGTAGGTGCTTTTCAAAATAGTAATTGATTTTCAAAATAAACATTTCCATTCATTCTATCTCTCTGAGTCAGAACATCTTTTAGACACAGATTCCTGATCCATGTTCTTCCTAATCGTAATCATAATGATCCTTTCAGAATTATTTTTTTAAAAAATAAGCACCCATTTTTTCCTTCTTCCTGATTCCTGGGGACACTCCCGATGTTGTGGCCCATTGGCTGCCAGCAGAGCTAACAACAGAGTTAGATGAGGAGGAGGGGGAAGGAGAGCCTGGGCCAGCTTCAGAGCCTTTGAAAGGCTCTGATGAGGAAGCAGAATCAGATGCAGAGCCGGGGCCTTCTATCCAATCCCAGGTGGAGAGGCAGCTGTTTTTAGGGCCTGAGTTGAGTGAGGAGAAGGAACAGACGGGGCCCATCCTAGATGCGCATATGTGTAGAGAGGAGAGGAGAGGAGAGGAGAGGAGAGGAGAGGAGAGGAGAGGAGAGCAATGGAAGGCAATAAGCTGGTTCTCAGGGAAAAGAAGTTGTAGACTCTAGTCAGCTCTTTCCCTGGCTAGGAAATAAATAGTAGGGGTTTGGGAGTGTCCTGTTATCATAGACAACTGTTCATTTTCTAGTGTACATCAATCAAGTTGGATTCTTTTGCCAGAACCAGGTTTGTCAGGACTAATTACTCTGTATTTGAGATGCCAACTGAGTCTCTCTGCTGGGAAATAATAGGTTGTGAATTTCCCTCAGCCGGGGTGAACAGGGAATGTTTCTGCTTGGCTTAATCATTGAAGGACTTTTTTTATTTTGAGTTCTATGTGAACAGAGACTGTGCCCTGTTTCATAAGGGGAAAAGATTCTCATTTGTGACTAATTATTTTTGGTTTTGTCTATCCAACATGAATAAAGACTGTTCCTGCCCTGTTTTAAAAAAGAGGCTTGTTTTACTCATGAGTAAATGGTTTCTCATTGCTTGTGAAGGCTGGGTCAGAACACTGGGAATCCATAACATAGCAGATGACTGCAGCTGGCGATACTATTAGCATCAAATTAATGATAAGTAGAAGGGGATGAATGTTGGTACAAGGAGAGCAAGGTTTTGAAAAAGCCATCAATATACTATGGATTTATTATATTTATAACTCATCTTCCATTGAGGAGCTTCAGGCAGCATACAGTCATTTCCCTCCTCTTATTTTTCCTTACAGCTACAGCCTAACAGAGGGAGGGAAACTGATCCAAAGTCCTCCAATGAGTTTTTTTGGCTGAGGCTGGTCCAGAAGCTGAAGCTGAGTCTATCTATTCTAGTCCAATATCTTAACCTCTCATCACCACTGAATCTCTAATAGTAACACTAGGAGTTTTTATCTCTGGACTTCACTGAAAGTTACCCAAAATATATCCTTACTGACAATTTGGAGCCATCCGGTTCTTTATAAACTACAACTTCCACAACTGTTTGTCATTGACTTGGCTGACAAGGGTTGATGGGAACTGAAGTTCAGACTACCTGAAAGGTCCCATGTTGCAGCTTCTGCTCCAGCTTTGCCTCGCCTTCTCAGTAAATGGCCTGCCATCTCTTTAATAAACTATGATTTGAACTAGTGATTCTGAACTAGCAATTTCTCTAAAATGGTTGAATTTTAAGAAGCTAAAGCAGCTTAGCAAGTCGAATTTCAGCTCTGGCTCTTATTTATCATATAAAAATGTCACTCGGACTCAAATTGCCTGCTTGGCCGCCGTGACAAAAATGATAATGCACCCATTTTAATTGTCCAGAGCTATGTATGGAGCTGGGTGGCAGATTTATGTTCTGTTAAAATGTCAGTGCCTGTGTGTTCCAAATGCATGCTCATAGACAGAGGGATAAAAAGGGAAGGAGATGAGAAGAGAATAATGGTGCCTCAAAACCCAACATCTTTCAGCTGCATAAAGCTATTCATGCTCAATACAACTGGAAAGTCTGTCCAAATATTTTTTTTGTCTTTTGCACTGTGTGCAAAGGACACTAAACAAATGTCAGGGAGACATTTGCAGCGGGGAGGGGGAACCATTTTAAAACAGGAAATAAACAGCTACAGTCTCTGGTCTGTGAGAGAGGCTTGTGAGATCTACTCTGCATTCTACTGGCTATAAACTGTGAGTCAGATGCAGCTAGAAGTAGACGCACATGGCTCTAAGATAGAACGAGGGGATATGATATCTTCAGGGGTGGGCTTCAAAAAATTTAGCAACCGGTTCTCTGCCCGGTTGCTGGATAGCCATGGCCATGATAGGCGTGGCCTAGTCAGCCTCCTGCACCATGGGGGGGTGCTGTTTTCACCCTCCCCAGGCTCCAGAGACTTTTCTCGAGCCTCTGGGAGGCCAAAAATGGCCTCCCGGGGCTCCGGAGGCTCTCTGGAGGCCAGAAACCAGCCTGTTTCTGGCCTTACAGAGCCTCTGGGAGACCCATTTTTCACCCTCCCCGAGCCCCCAGGCAGGCCTTGCATTTACCTGGGATACAAAATGAGCTGCGTGGAGACTCCTGAGAGGGGTGGGGTGGAGTGGGTGGGGCTAGCCAGTCGTTGCAACTACAGGTTTGGCAAACCACATGTAAAATTAACATCCAGTTCACACAAACCGGAGTGAACTGGTAGGAGCCCAGCCCTGGATGTCTTTAAGCTGTTGTTGAAGCCAGAGTGCTATATTTGGAGTACCAGAACTGAACAGAACTTATGGTTTTCCCATAGAAAACTTATTCCTGGCTACCACAATAATTTTTCATGACATTAGTTTAATTTGTGAAAGGGACTTCATTTTGTTGATTTGGCAGCAAAAATATACAAATCACTGAAAAATGTACACATTAATTCAAGACTAATTTTAAGAGTTAAGAGCTGTGATGGTGCAGTGGTTAGAATGCAGTATTGCAGGCTAATTCTGCTGACTGCCAGCAGTTCAATCCTCCCCTGCTCAAGGTTGACTCAGCCTTCCATCCTTCCAAGGTGGGTAAAATGAGGACCCAGATTTTTGGAGGCAATATGCTGACTCTGTAAACCACTTAGAGAGGGCTGTAAAACACTGTGAAGCTGACTAAGTGCTACTGCTATTGCTAACTCCTGCCTATCCTTAAGCTAATTGGGCCAAGAGAGCAAAACAGCTTTTGAATTAGGGCAGATATGGAGAAACATTGTTTTCCAACTGTAGCTGAACTGCAGTTACTAACAGCATCAATAAGCATTTCCAACACTGAGAGATGCTAAGAATTGTAGTTCTGCCATATTTCAAAGATTAGGGACTCCTTATTCCTGAAACAGGGACTGATACCTCCTACTGAGCCTTCCCCCAAGCTCCCTAGATATTTTGAGACAATCAATATTGATAGCTACAGAATTCTGGGATTGGTCATTTCAATAGATCTAAGAGGGAAAGGTTGGAGAAAGATGGCATAATATTTCTTTCTTGGCATTATCAATTAAATATGGCAGAGTAATTAAAATATTAACATTTGATTCATATTCAACAGGTTCCCCTCCTCCATCCTCCTCCCCAACAAAATTTCTACATCTTCCTATGAAATAAAGCCATCTGCAAATTTCAGACTCAGGCATTAAAGTGCAAATTTTGAAACAGTAATCTGAAACTGTAAAAAGCTTAACATGCCACCCTCTTCAAATTTGCCATAAGACTCCATCTCGGATACAAGACATTAATTTTTAATATAGTCTTGCCTAAATGTCAAAACTCAGCATCAGTATAGATAAAGGTAATAAGGTGTCCTCTACTGCTTCTCCCAAATCAGCTTCCAAAGCCTGCATTGGAATTTTACATCTTTAAAGTTCCATAAAGAAGAAGGGGAACGTCTTTGGTTGGGAGAATAAGGGAAGGGTGTATAAGCACGCCAACATGCCTACCGTTCCTGTTCTATTGTTTCTTTTATTTCTTTTATTTTTCTTATATGTATCCATGTATTCATAACGATGTTTTACTTATACCTATTATCTTGTGAGCAACTGACAAAAATAAATAAATAAATAAACTTACTGCTGGAACACTTCCTTTTTGTTCAGGAACTTGAAAAACTCAGGCTCACAGACTAAATTGTGCTGCTGACAAGTTCTGGTGCATGCTTGGCCAGTCTCAGATAGCCACACCTGCAGGGATTTGACTGGGGGCCAAGCTGGAAGATGGCTGCTGGTCACATTATGAGACCATACCAGAGCAGTTGAATTGGGTTGCAGGATGAAAGGACTGAGAGAGCTTTGCATAGTTGGACTGCTGGGCTTGTCTGGTAGAGCAGCAGTAGCACAGAAATCCTATCCGATTGGGGGGGATAAAAAAAAAAAAACATTTGTTACAAAGACATTTCAAAAGACAGTGCTGCAAATATGTCACCTGATATGAATTTCTCTAATCTGGAACTTTCCAGAGTTATAACTCCCACAATTACTAGCCAGCATATTGCCTGAGAATCCTGGAAACTGTAACCCCAATGCATCCAGAAGATGCCAGATTATACCAAGGACAAATCTGAATATCAAACATGCCCCCAATAGTTTCTTAAGACTGCAACTTAATTCAGATGCCATAGTTTTAATATCACTTTCTTTTCTCACCCACCCCTTTTTGGTTATCAACTTGCCAGGTGCAAAATTCTGGAGGTACATATAAGCTTACACATTGGTTTCTGATCTTGAACTGGCCTAATAAGAGTAATTACTATGCAGCTGCATGGGAAAGTGTAGTCTCCCTCATTCGATTGCATGTTACAATGTATTCTACATGAATAGAGGCTGACACAACCTCTATATTGTACAAATTAAATACAATCTATTTTTCTCCAAAATTTAATGCATACTTACTATTAATGCATTATTGTTCAGAGATGCAAAATAAGAAAATAGTAAGCTTGGCGACTTCTGGTTTGAGTCTCTTCGGCAACAGACCAAAATCCGTGATCATGTGCAGTTTCGATCTGTGCTCGCCACCAGAGCACCCCAAGCCGGCTGGTTTCGGGGCTAAGCCACCCCGTAGAGGTGGTGAAGAAGGGGGAGACTGCCAGAAGGGTCGAGGAGAGCCGCATCTCTCTTCCCCAGCTGGCCATTACTCCCTTTCCCGAAGGCGATTGCAGCGGTGGTCAGAAATGGCCACCTCAAAGAAGAACTGAACCGGAAAAGAATGTGCAGGAGGAAGATAAGAAGAGAAAGTTTTGGCTGACTGGGTTAAATCGAAAAAGCAACAATGTAAGGTACCCTGGAATTTAAATTTAATAACATTGTTCCCAAAGAAGATTTTGAAGCTGTGAAGGAGAGAGAGAAGGGAAAGGAGTAGGTTTTTTTTCTTCCCTTCCTTATACTGACAGCTAAAAGACTTAAGCAAGAAATTGAAAAAAATCCACTTTGACATTAATAGGCATCTAAGCTGAAAATAAAAGTCAAAGGGATAATAAAGTTTTCTGGATATTTAAAAGTTTTTAAAAGCAGGAAAGAAGGGGAAAAAAGGAATAAAAGGGCAGGATCTGGAAAAATGGAGGAGACTGCCTGGAACTAAGGAATGGAACTGTAACTAAAAGGAACTTACAGTGAAATTTTAACAAGATTCCTCAAAGATACATTTTAACTGAAACTTGGTAACAAAATAATAGAACCCCAGGAAGAGAAAGTGGAAAAAAGAAGCAAGAAGAAACAGCCTTGGATTATTTGGATTACTTGGTGATTTTTGGTTTTTGCATTTAGATGACTAAAATTAACCGGGTGGTTGTTTAAAAGTCTTTAAAATGGTATCACTTTTAGAAGAACTGAAAATGGAACTTAAAAATGGAAAGAAGATGCACAAGAAGGGAGAGGTTCTTTTGGCTTCGTATTTAAATTCTTAGAAATGGAGATCTGGAACTATGAGAAACAACAAGAAACGATTGCAGAACAAGAAGATTGGGACAAAGAAGAAGCCATCTTTAATGATCAAATAATTTTAAGTGGGGGGGGGAGAAAAAGGGGGGAAAGAGAGTGAAAGGTTTAAGACTAGAAAAAACAACCAAAAAGAAGAAGAACAATTTGAAAGATAAGTATATTAGAAAGCAACAGAAGAGGGGATTACAGACGAGAGAGTTAGAAGTAGAGAGATGAGGGGGTAAAAAGGGGAGGGAGAAGAAAAGGGGGAAGAAGGCAAGGAAAAGAAGTTGTAAAAGACAGAAACAAGAAATGGAGAAACAGGGAAAAGATATAAGGATTGTAATCATAAGCTTGTTTAGAGATAATGGGTGAAAATTTAATTGCAAAAGGGATTCTGCAAAGGTACATAAGATAGCATTGTTATATTACAAACATAAATAATTTTAGAAAATATGATTAAAATGATGGATAAAATATTTACTGTAATGAAGTGGAATGTTTGTTAATAAATAAATGAATTAAAGTGATTGAGAGAATTAAATGGGAACATTTTAATTATTAGTAATGATTTATAAAAATATAAGTGAGAAATATGGGAAAAAAAGAATTAACTATGGAAAGTTTATAAGTGTTCCTAAGGAAGTATGATATTTAATTGAAAAGAAATGCTAAAGATGTTAAGATTTTAATGAATATTAATGATAGAATTGAATTGGAATGGAATGTGTGCTTTATTTACATATATATGTTCTGTCTCACTTTTCTTCTTTCCCAAAAGATGAAAGAATACAAACTCACACAAACACAGGCAGGCAAGCTGGCTCGGACTTCACAGAGTTAATTCTTTGGAACTGATAATATCCTTGGCATTCCAACACCCTCTGCCTGCCAAGTCCGAACTGATAACAAATAAAAATCTACTCACAGAAAATTACAAGGCAGTCTACAAAAATCATTCACGAAGAAAATCTGAAGTAAAATTAAACTTTGTCCCGTACAAAGTTCCAGCCGAAAACACACCCACTTTTATCCCCTGTGGGGTGTGGCTCAATGACTCAGCTCACTCTCTGACCTTCCCATGCCTCCTACGTTGCTGCTCATGTTTCTCCCTACGACACTGCTTAGGATCAAGCCAACACTCTTCCTCTTTACTCCCTGTCAGGGGCTGCTCCGATATGCCTTCCTCCTGATTAATCTCAGGCTGTTCCTCTCGGTTGTCTGATGAAACCTGAGGCACTATCAGGGAGGAAGGCATTGCCAGAGAGGAAGGTTCTGGGGAGGAAGGCATTCCCAGTTCCTCCTCCTCATCTTCCAGGTCTTCTTTCTCTGACAGCATAGGCTCGGGAATCAGGGCCACAACATACATGCATACATACATACATACATACATACATACATACATACATACATACATATTGTGACTTGGAGGTTTGAGCCTGCTCTGTTAGAGGACACAGACTTGGATAATGAGGAAGAGGAGGATTTGGCTCTGAGGTTTGAGCCTGCTTTGTTAGAGGATTTGGAATTGCCTTCCTCCCCAGGACTTTCCTCTTCGGCAAGACCTTCCTCCCGGGTTGTGCCTCAGGTGTCAGCAGATAACCAGGAGGGCGTATCAGAGCCTCTGACTGAGGAATGTTGGTTTGATGCAAGGCAAAGACGCAGGCAAAAGCGTGAGATGCAACGCAGAAAGAAAGGACGAATCAGAGAATGAGATGAGGGACTGACACGCCCCACAGGGAATAAAAGTGGGTGTGTTAGCTCTGGGTTCTTGTTCGGGACAACGTGTTATTTAGTGAGAGAAGCTTCAGAATTATCCTGTGTGTGGTGACAGCTTGTGATTTATGTTCCTGCTTCCTTATTGGACTTGGCAGACAGCTTGCGTGAGACTGCCAAGAATGTTGTCGGCTTAAGGATTTTAACCCTGTAATTACCGGACTTGCCTGCTTATTTGTTGGAAATTTGGACTTATTACTTTGTTTGTATAGGTGAGACATAACATATATATATATAATTTTTTTCTTTTTAAGAATATAGTGTGTATTTTAAGAATGTACCAAGCAGAATTCGATTGGAAGTTATGTATTATATTGAATGCTATAATCTTAAAGGTATACATTGAAGCTTAAATAAGAGTTTGAATGGATAAAATTGAAAGATATAAAGGTGTCATACTCCAATTGGTAACTACAGGGAAAATTTGTTTAATAAGAAAAGATAATATGAAATTGAAACAGGACAGACAAAAGTACCCTGTTTCTCCAACAATACGGCCTCCCCCAATAGGAAGTCCCAGCATGTTTTATAGGCATGAAATGAAATTAAGCCCTTCCCCCCAAATTAAGGCCTATATTAAAACATGCGAAATGGGGGGAATGGTGGGGGGGCTTGCCATTAGGAAGTACTTTTGTTGCACACCTGGATATGGTGCTGCCTGCGTTGACCTCGATACGAAGTGCCCCACCAACGTCGAGGTCAACATCCAAGCCGTCGCCGCCCACCCGAAGATGCAAGGGGGGGAAATTAAGTCACCCCCGAAAAGACGGCCTAGCCATTTTTTCGGGGCTCAAAAAAAAATAAGACCCGGCCTTATTATATGAGAAACACGGTATAAATATAATGATTTGAATTGAGATGAGATAATTAAAATAAAGTTGAGAAAATTAAAAGAGGGGAAAACTATGTAGAAAATATAAAACGGTAATAAGATATGAAATAGAATATAAAAATGAGCATGAAATTGAGTTTTGTGTCTGTATGAAGAAGTGATAACCTGGGACCATGCTATTTTCAAAAAAAGATGTTTTATTTGTATTTTGTTTTTGTGAAAGCCCAAATAAAATTTTCAAAAAAGAAAAAGAAAAAAGAAAATAGTAAGAATGGCAAGCATAGACATTTGAATACTTTTCCCATTGATTCAGCGTCCCTTTTCCCCCCAAGTCACTCTCTCTCAGCCCAATCCACCCCACACAGTTGTTGTTGTTGTTGTGGGGAGAGTAAGAGGAGGAAGGAATATTATGTAATTTGTAAAAAAGAATATTAAAGGCAGGATATAAATAAATACAGAAAACACTGATTACCTGAACTCTATATTTAGCCAGATGATGATTCTACAGGTAAATAAATATTCAGATTCTTCTAATCTTTGAGTGTGTGACTGTTGTTTCTATCTACTTTTCAGCAAAATGAGCTCTTCTAGCATCTGTATAAGCATTTGAAAATTAAAGTAACAAAACTAGAGAAGACGTTTTACAGAAACTAAATGTCTCCAGCTAGTAATTTCTAGTAATTGAAAAATAGTGATAAGAAATGGAAGTTGCATACTGTAACTTTTAAAGTCAAGGCAAAGTCTGGAAGACCAAGAAAAAAATATTTTTTTACCAGACCTGTCTTGAAGGAGATCACATCTGCAATACAAAACCTGTAGGCCATTGCAAATGACCAGCTAAAATATTTAGCTGATGTTGGAGTGGTTGTCCACTTGTCCATAGAATCACATTGCTTATACTGTGCATGGGACAGTAATCAGAAGGAAACTTTTTCTCCAACCTCTCATCATCTAGTATGCAAAAGGAAATCTTGATAAAATATTTTAGAAAAAGTGCCTTGGATTGTTGAAACAAAATTTGAATGGTTAGGTCACAAAAAATGCATTTGGAGAAAAAAAGGTGAAACTTTTCAACAAAAGAACTCCTAGATAGCTATTAAAATAATGTTTGGAATAGCCATCACAGTTCCATCAAGCTTGAGCCTTATTGAAAATCTGTGGCAGAGCTCAAACATATGCTGCATACAAGGAGATATTATTCAATATTTCTGAACTAAAAGTATTCTGCAAGGAAAAATAGGGGGGGGGACTTTCAAATTAAGAACAGATGGGCTTTTAGTTGGCCAGAGGAAATTGTGGAAGCTGTTATTTTTGCCAAAAAAAAAAAAATGTTACAGAGTCCTGAATGAAAGGGTGTCCAGGCTTTTCCACCTGCTATGTCCTCTGTTTTCCTATTTTGCATCTGTAAATAACTGCATATAAATATTAAATATGCATTAAAAGTTGCAGAAATATGCCATGATTAAATAGTTATATGTGGCAGTGCTGCCTCTGTTCACTGAGGAGTCTTTGAAGGATACAATTGGACCGGAGATGCATACATTTTTGCCTGCAACTGCAATAAAGCTCATTTCTTATGGCCAAAAAAAACCACCCTTGCTTTTATGCAAAAGTAAGTACTTTAATTATGTTAATCCTCTTCTTTAATAGAGTCAGTCTTATCTATATCCTTCCATAGGTAAGTGCCAAAGAGTTCATAGGTATGACTGCTAGGTAAGTAGATAGAAAAATACAGCTCTGTTAAATGGAGTTTATAACCACTCCCAGAAACCTCATATGCTTGTTAAGAGATGAGGTTAAGGACTGAATTCCAGGATCATTGGCAGTGGCTTTTTAATAGATTAGTGATGTGATGTGGTGAATATTTGGTGGCCAGTTTTTTAAAGCAGTCTTTAATTATATCTAAAATCAGCTGAAATTACTCAAAAATATGGATCTATTGATCCTTTGCTGAAGTTGCTGATATGCTTTCTAGAATAGACTTTCCTTCCTTGAGGTGCAAAACACTTTTCCATAGTATTAACACAATTGTGGAGAAAAATTTACACTCTACTTTCTGTGCACAAAAGGGTACTAAGTTACATCCTTACTTTTTATTCCAATAATAATCATATTATTTCAAGGATTTAAAAATGGAACAGTGTGCTGGTACTCTCTGTCATATCAAAGCACATCATTTTTCCAATTAGCAAAGAGAAAAAAAAGTGTTGAAAATAGTAACTGTCATTAACTGTGGATGGAGAGAAACAAATTATACAGGAATAGATTAAACACTGGGGGGAGGGGGAAGCTTGAGAGAAAATATACATTTAAAATAGCATTTTCCCATTTTAATTGCTTAAAGTTTGCCAAAGTTCCCAACATGGCCAAGAATTGGCAGGAAAGGGATTCAATTTTACTGATCATTTGGCAAATCAAAATATTTCAGGTAGGGATTTCTTCTAGATTCCTTCTCCATATTTTTATTTTTCCATTTCTGGAACCTCAAAAGAAGGGAAGAAAAACACCCTTTCCACAGTAGCCCAGTAACAGAGATAGAATAGAATAGAATAAACAGAGTTGGGAGGGACCTTGGAGGTCTTCTAGTCCAACCCCCTGCTTAGGCAGGAAACCCTATGCCATTTCAGATAAATGGTTATCCAATCTCTTTTTAAAAACTTCCAGTGTTGGAGCATTCACAACTTCTGGAGGCAAGTTGTTCCACTGATTACTTGTTCTAACTGTCAGGAAATTTTTCCTTAGTTCTAGATTACTTCTCTCCTTGATTAGCTTCCACCCATTGCTTCTTGTCCTGCCCTCAGGTGCTTTGGAGAATAGCTTGACTCCCTCTTCTTTGTGGCAGACCCTGAGATATTGGGACACTGCTATCATGTCTCCCCTAGTCCTTCTTTTCATTAGACTAGACATACCCAGTTCCTGCAACTGTTCTTTATAAGTTTTAGCCTCCAGTCCCCTAATTATCTTTGTTGCTCTTCTCTCAATTCTTTCCAGAGTCTCAACATCTTTTTTACATCGTGGTGACCAAAACTGGATGCAGTATTCCAAGTGTGGCTTACCAAAGCATTATAAAGTGGTATTTAACAGTTCACTTTCTGTGCACAAAATGATGTGAAGTGGGCTTCTTGCTTTGATTTTTATTATCATTATTATTTAGAATTATTTTATCTCCAAAAATGCTATGAACATGGCCTATGATGTCAGGATTCCACTGGAGTATACAGGGCCATCATTTTCAACCCATCTGTTAAAAGAGAAATAGGTCCCTCATTTCGCTCTTAAAATACTTGACTCCCCCAGAGAAAATAGGACTCAAAATTTGGCCTTGCTTACTTTAGTAGATGTTAGTAAATATTTGAGTATCTGATGGCTATGCTGGCTGGGGAAGGTGGGAATTCTTGTCCAGCACAATGGGAAGAATTAGGTTGATCAGATTATTGATTATTTTATACTACATAAACCAAGTTAATGGTTCTAGGATATTCCTATTTGCTGGGTTAAGTCAGAAAGAGGGAGAAGATAAGTTACCTGGTTTTGAATGTAGGCATGAATCCGCTCTAGCATTCCTTCAGATGTGTATTCATAGGGCAAGTAAGGATCAACCTAGAGGAACAAAGGAGGAAGAAATATGGACATGAATGAGCGTAGAATAGATTACTTCCACTTTCTGTGAAAAAGTTATGAAAAATATGGTATCCTATCATTATGACAGAATGTCTTAACTTTCCATATGAAGCAAATGAAGGACAAATAAGCAAGTTTGGTTGCATTTACAATCTTTTCTGCAAGAACTTATCTCTTTTTCATAGTTAAAAGTGAAAATGTCATTTCATCCTCATTTACCTTTAAACAGACCTTTAAACAGGTTTTGGCCGTGCATATAATGTAGTCAATATAGTACTTAACAATTATCTCTATTTGGTCAGTAATTAAATTGAATTGCCTTTTAGCACACCTCTTAGAATTTCAGCAAGGGAACTGAAATTCCTGATCATTTCAGGAATGCACATTGTCCAAGCAAATACTCTCTGACATAAAGAAAGCACTTGGAGTGTGTTGAAGAAGCACACTACACAAACCACAAAAATTGTAACCTCCATTGCCTGGAGCCACCACCTAGTTCTCATGCAGGTTCTCATGCAAAACTACAAAGGCAGCTTTGCATTTTCAGAAATCTGATGAAATTAGTGTATTGATCAAGTCCCAGATTTTGCAATTATATGTGACCATCTGCTGGGATGCAAAGATTCTTCAGATCTGTTCGCCAATATGTTCTGATCAAAACCATTGATGCTGACTGTATATTAGACTGCTGGCACATACTGCTGGGCCTGGAATATGAAGACTATTCAGTTTCAAGCTTATATCTTAGCAAGCCTTAACACACATTTTCCCTCCCTCCCTGCTTCTTCTCACACATACCAGCAAGCCTCCTGTTTGATCTGTCAAATATACTAATGATGGCAACGACAGCAGATGCTTGCATTCATCTGCTACCAGCAAACAATTGGATGAAGTATCTCCCTGTATGGCAAGAAGGCCAACAGCAAACAGATTCACTAGGGTCAATGGTTCTAATGAGCCTATCTTTCGTCTTTCTCCATTCCCTTTATTAAAAAAAGAAAAATAAAGATCAAAGCTGATAAAAATATGCCAGCAAAAGAAAAATAAAAATATATGTAAGTAATAAAGGTTCAAGGCATTCTTTCTTTTATCCAAGGCCTGCTGAATGCTTTGGTTAATTCTGTGCTTCTAGAGCATACTAGTCTAACTATGAATCCTTTGACCCTAAGGGTGTTTTGAGTCTTTCAATAGTTTATTAGTGAGGAATGACGACAAGATGGATGCTCTCTTTCATGGTCTTTGATCTAAGAGCTTCTTGACATTTTCTACTTATTGCTTCTCATTTTATTTTCAGAATATAAACTTTGAGTAGGTCCTTCTGAGGAGTCCTCAGATCCTGACTAAGCACTTAATAATTCTGTTGATTTTTTCCCGTTTATTCATATTTGACAGCAGACAAGTCCTTGAATGACTCAGCACATTGTCCTGAAAGGAAGGTCTGTTTACGGAGCTTTTGAGAAGATGTCACCAAAAGAAGGATCTTCAGAACTACCGTTTACAAGCCTTTTCTCAGATATTCTGCTTTCCTGTTTTAACTGGTTTTTTTCTTTATTAAGAAAGAAGAAACAAAAACAAAACAATGAGAAAATATGGAAGGGCTTCAGCTGGGCATCTCCTTTCTCATGGAATTCAAGGACTGAAGCAGAGGAATTACTGATTAAGGATTCTGCCTGAAAGCAACGAAACTACACCAAGCCTATCAATCTATAAAAGGATAGTGCTTTCAGGTTACGTGGAAGCAGGGGTGGGATTCTACCGATTCTGTCTGGCTCTGTAGAACCGGTAGCTCTAAAGAGCAACAGACATAGAACCGGTTCTACATCTACTGCTGTTTTAGCCCCCCCTCTGCCCCCGGTTTCTTTCCTGACCTTTATTTCCTGCTTTTCCAACCTCTGCTGCTTTGCGCGGCACAGCTGCGGTTGAAAAAGCAGGAAAATAGTGCTTTTTCAAATGCTACGTACCCGCACGCAGTGCTGCTTACTGTTCGGGCAGCATAGCTGACGACGTTCTACACGCACGTGAAGCGCACATGTGTGCGCAAATCGCAAATCACAAAATCACCAAACCGGTAGTTACACAGGTCGGATCCCACCCCTGAGTGGAAGACTCTAAATTGGGAAACAAGAAGCTGAATTATGATGCTCAAGAATACTTCCGTACAACCATCACTTCCACTCATAAACCAATTGTCAGAATTCTGCAACTTAGGTACTCTACAAGGCGGCGATATAAGACCAGTTACATTCTCTTATTATGTTCTTCAGGATGGACAATTGGGACTCATCAGATATGCGTAGACATCTTTTCTGTAAGGTTCAACCCCTCTGCCAGGAATTGAATTCATGGACCGTTTATTCATTAAGTAACTACATGCAGTACATTAACTTTAGGAGTTATTCAGGTCCTAGTGTTCATTGGAGTTGCAAGAAGGGATACATAGAATCTAGCAAATGGTATGTACAGTGCAAATAAGCTTTCTGAGAGAAAGAGAAAGATCACATTATAATGTAACATGGCCGACTCTAACATCTATATCTCTCTGAAACTATAGAGGGAATAGGGATGGCCTAGAATAGGGGTGTCAAACTCACATTGTCATGACAGTGTCTCATGACATATCGGGACTTCCCCCCCACACCTTTGCTATACTAGGCATGGGTTTGGGCAGCAGGTGATGAGTTTGAGAGCCCTGGCCTAGAAGGACAGGAGAAACAACTGCTACCAAGACAATGATAAATGGGGCAAGAGCCCAGCTCAAGAAAATAACTTGAGAAAATATCTCAAATTCCTCCCTAGTTCACAGAAAGGTCAAGTGAGAGAGGGAAGGACTGTACAGTCAGATTTCCAAGATTCTGTTACTATAGATGTTACAATAAAAAGTAGTCATAACCTATATGGCATTGGTTTCTCAGTCTGGGTTGACAAAAAGCTTCAGAGAAGGTACATTGTATAGATCAAGTTGACAAGGGTTTCCTCCAAATGGCCAGATAATGAATACAAGAAAGATAATGCTGATCTCTGGATCTCCAAATCCTCCTATGTTGCTACTGAGCCAGAAACAAATTAGCTCCATTCCCCAAGGCAGAAGCTAATATAGGGATACAGTGGGTATGATGTCGACCCAGGAGTGACATCAAAGCCATTTAGCTGTTATTCCCAGGTGTCCTACTTGAACTTGAAAGGGAATACAAGTAGGACTGTTCAAGTTCTACTTGAACAAGAGAGGGAAGTCAAGGGATAGAACTTATTTATGAAAGGCATCCTTCCCTTTTGTACATAGTAAGAGCATTGACACACCCTGAAACAACAAGCATAGCATTTCCATTCAGTTCTGAAATGTAATAGAGACAGGCAGTCTTCTTTGCGGCATCTGTGCAGATGGAGTAAAGATGGAATAAACACCTTCCTGCCTGCTATAGAAAATAACCCAAGAAAGAGAACAGTCATTTCCATGTTTTATCAGCAATTGTTCCTTTCCCTTGTTTAGCATATTGAAAGGAGGGGGAGGGGCACTGAGTAGTCTCAGTGGATATTTTACACTTGCAGTTTAAGTTTTATTGCACCAGAACACCAAACTGTATGTACAAAGGGATCTGTGTCACAGAAAAAGATTAGCATTTAAATGGAGAATATGTTTAGTTCCCAAATCCAGCAGGCCTAAAGAAAGAAGAGGGTGACACTAATGTCACAGCATTAAGAAACAGAAAAACTAGCTGCCAAACTCCTGCACTGTGAATGCTAAATATTATGGATGCTTGAATCTGCTTTGCTCACTCAGATTCTTACCATAACTGCAACATATGGCAACCTTTGTGGCCTTTCATTTAGGAAATGAGAAGGAGAGGAAGGAGGCCAAGCTAAATTCTTGGTGGCTAAGGGCTTTGCCTTTGCCTTCTCTAATTACTCTTCCAATCCTGAAATTTTTGGCAGGTTGGGAGTGGTTAATTCTTTAAGTTTGATTTGGTGATGAGACCTGCTCTTTCATGTTTTACTTTCCTTAACATAACTCTGCTGCAGAAGATTGGGCTTGCTTTCTAAATGGTCCAAGGACCCCGTCTATAACTTTTTAAAAAGAGAAGCAGTAGTGTTAGGATCTTTAAAAAACATTCTTTCCTTTCCCAGGTCTTCCCAGATTCAATGGAACAAATGTGATTTGTAAGTTATGGATTAGTGTGAAATATGGGTCCAGCCAATTGTAGCCTTTCAACAAACCTAGTGTAAACAATTGTATGATTTTATTTATTTATTTATTTATTTATTTATTTGATTTGTCAATTGTTTACAAGATAATAAGTACAAGTGTATACATAGTTGTGAATATATGTAATGGGTACATATAAGAAAAATAAAAGAATAAGAGAAACAATAGGACAGGGACGGTAGGCACGTTGGTGCGCTTATGCACGCCCCCTACAGACCTCTTAGGAAAGGGGTGAGGTCAATAGTAGACAGTCTAAGGTTAAAGTTTTTGGGGTTTGGGGAAGAGACTACAGAGTCGGGTAGAGTATTCCAGACATTGACCACTCTATTGCTGAAGTCGTATTTCCTGCAATCAAGTTTGGTGCGGTTTACTTTGAGTTTGTATCTGTTGTGTGCTCTTGTGTTGTTATGGTTAAAGCTGAAGTATTCATTGACAGGTAGGACATTGCAATGTATGATTTTATATACCATGCTTAAGTCGGACCGAAGACGGCGTAATTCAAGGTTTTCTAGTTTTAGAATTTCGAGTCTGGTGGCATAAGGTATTCTACAACGAGTAGAAGAGTGGAGAACTCTTCTTGTGAAATACTTCTGGACTTTCTCAATTGTGCTAATATCACATACGTAATAAGGATTCCAGACTGATGAACTGTATTTGAGTATTGGCCTAGCAAATGTTTTGTATGCTCTGGTTAGTAGTGAGATATTACCAGAGAAAAAGCAACGTAGGATTAGGTTAACAACTCTTAATGCCTTTTTGGCTATGTAGTTGCAGTGGG